AGACACATCATAATTAAAATGCCAAGGGCAAAAGACAAAGAGAGGATCTTACAAGCAGCAAGAGAAAAGCAGTTGGTTACCTATAAGGGAGCACCCATATGACTATTAGCTGATTTCTAAACAGAAATTATGCAGGCCAGACAGGAGTGGCAACCAAGATTACTGTATTCAGCAAAGTTATCATTCAGAATTGAAGGGCAGATAAAGAGCTTCACAGGTAAGAAAAAGTTAAAGAAGTTCATCACCACCAAACCAGTATTATATGCAATGCTGAAAGGTATTCTTTAAGAAGAGAAAGAAGAAAAAAAAAGATAAAAATTATGATCAACAAATATATATATATATATATATATATATATATATATATATATATCTCAAGTGAATCTAAAAATCAAGTGAAATAAAAATCTGAGGAACAAAATAAACTGGTGACTATAATAGAATCAGGGGCAAAGAAAGAGAGTGGAGTGAAAATTATCAAGGGGAAAGAGGTTTGGGGGTTGCAGGATTAAAATCGTACACCTATGGATGAGGATAATGGGACAGAGGGTGGGGCAGGAACCAGGTGGAAGGGAACTATGGGGGAGAGGGGGGGAGGAGAAGCAATTGTAATAATCTGAGCAATAAAGATTTAAAAAAAAAAAAGAGTTCAAATTCTCAAGAAGTTCAAATTAGTATTTAAGGAAAGTATTAACACAAGATGAAAAGAGAATAATGACTCTAATTCTTTGAGGAAGCAAGCTAGTAGAGAAAAATTCAATCACTAAATGAGGAGTTTCAGAAGTGGACAAGGTGGGGAGTGGCATTAACAGGAAGAAAGAGCAGCATGGAGACATGAAGCTCTGCAATTATAATCCAGAATGGTGGAACACCAGGTACACATTAGAGGTACTTAGCCACGAGGCTTTAAATTGGGAGTGGGGAAGGCCAGTGGTAAAGAACACGAAGGGCCTCACAATCTCCATGCCAAGAAATTTAGGCTCTAAGAGTGAAGCTATGGAACTCTAATAAGAAATTGTAAGTAGGTGTGGCATGCTCAGAAAAAATATATAAGAAATAAATATTGCAGAAGGAGGTCAGACTTCTAAATGATAACAGTTAAGATAAAAAGGTTAATTAGAAAGCCAATATTATTAGTACAGGTGAAAATAATGATGAAAATATATAGATTCAGATTCAAAAAATATCTAGGAAGTAAAAATCAAATAGATATTTCATCTTTGTCTTGTCATCTTTTCCTAGGTCCCATATATCTTTCACTAATCTGCTCCTCCACAAAAAAATAAATGAAAACCACATATTGACTATGACAGTGGCTGGCAAACTCATTAGTCAACAGAGCCAAATATCAACAGTACAACGACTGAAATTTATTTTGAGAGCCAAATTTTTTAAACTTAAAACTTCTTCTAACGCCATTTCTTCAAAATAGACTTGCCCATGCTGTGATATTTTGTGGAAGAGCCACACTCAAGGGGCCAAAGAGCCACATGTGGCTCTCAAGCAGCTGTTTGCCGACCACAGGGATATGGGAATGAAGGAAAGAAGAGGGCCCAGGATGAATTCTTGCTTGGCTGGTGAAGAGTGAAGTCCAATACAGGTAATACAGGAAGACAAATCCATGCAAATCATTCAAACAGTGTAAGCACCCTGGACCAGGAATTGGTTTGTTATAGTCTGGGGGGAAAAAGTGATAAAGGAAGCAGAAAGGAAGAGGATCAAAGATCAATTTAGCTTTGGTCTTGTGTAATGTAATGTGCCTATTCAATTAGTTACTAGTGGCATGTAAAAAAGAGGAAACTAAGGGAGTCATTAGCTCACAAGGAGCAACTGAAGACAAGTAGTACAATGAGATCAACTTTAGATACCAATATTTAATGAGGGGATAAAAGAAAAACCTTAAAAACAAGTGAAGAACTGATCAGAGAATTAAGAAATCAATCAGGAGATAAGGTGATGCCAAAATAGGCAAAAGAAAAAATTCAAGAAGGGTGGGACAGGTGAAAATAAAAGTTAAATCTACTGCATAAAGCTAAGTTTACCAACACAAGTTATTCAAAACAAATAGATTACATTGTGAGGTAATGAATCACATCTTCATGTAGATGATGAAGGCAAATAGAGTTATCTACACAGGCTCCTGACATGAGAATTCTTACCTTAAATGAGAAGTATAGCTATATGACCTATGCAGTACACTCATAGCTAGCCTCAACACCATTATGACATTTCCTCAAATATTCTTTTGCAATCTAACCAATGAATGGGGTATTTGGTTACTTCAATAAGTTTTTTAAAATTTCCTACATACTTCCCATTTAACTCAAAAGCAACCAATACTGGATTAAAACTTTTCACTAATTCTGCTCTTGGAGTATAAAATATTGCTGCAGAAAGTGTAGAAACCGCTGATCTAATCTACTTAAAATTCCAACTGTTTTCAAATGAACTCTTAACATTATCTTCCTAACCTTCTCCAAGCCTGCATCCCAATTGCACCTCATTACCATTTCTTAAACCCTTCACTCTGATTAGACAAAACCTAATAACACAAGCTGCTCTATCTTATCATCTTTCCCTAGGTCCCAAATATCTTTTCAGTAACCTGCTCCTTTACAAAAAAATAAATGAAAATCACTGACAAATGACATCTGATTTACTGTCAGCTTGTTGCATATGTGGCTTATTCAATTCTCAATTTCCTTGATCTCTCTGCAATTTACCAGAGACCTGACCAAGCCTCTCCTTATTGCAGTTACTCCTTTAGCTTTTGTAACTAGGCAGAATGGTTTGTGGAAAACTCTGGACTATTAACTACAAACCTCCCCATCTCCACTCCAACTCACCCCCTCAAACCTCTCTTCTGAGACAAAGGGACACCCAGACTAGTTTAGGTTCCTGCAATATAAACTTGCTCAAAACCTATTAGTCTCCTTTGCAATACTTATCACACTTCTTAATTATATAATTAGCAGTTGAATGGCTATCTTTCCTACCCACACACCAGACTGTAAGCTCCATAAAGGCAGAGTGCGCATAATTGAATCAATGATGAAATAGATGTTATGACCACTTCCTAAGAGACTCATTATTTTTATTAATCTAAGTAACAAAATCACTAGTACTTTATCTCAAAATTACTGACAAAATTTTTAACAGAAATTCCAATTTCCTAAAAGATACATAATATGAACTACATATAATGTTTTACATATAAAATTAAGAGTAAGAGAGAACTTGCCGAAACCGGTTTGGCTCAGTGGATACAGCATCTGCCTGCAGACTGAAAGGTCCCAGGTTCGATTCTGGTCTAAGGCATGTACCTTGGATTCGGGCACATCCCCAGTAGGGGGTGTGCAGGAGGCAGCTAATCGATGTTTCTCTCTCATCAATGTTTCTAACTCTATCACTCTCTTCCTCTCTGTAAAAAATCAATAAAATATATATATTTTTTTAAATGTACCTTTAAAAAAATAAAGAGTATGAGAGAACTTGTCCTGCCATCCACAGAATGGAAAGGGTTTGATCAGTCACATCTACACTTGCGGGCCAAAATGTACTAGTATATTCTAAACCATGTATAGGCCAAATGTGCAAATGCAAGTTTAATGCTAAAACAACTGTTGTTTACATAGCTGTTTAGATAATACCCATTGGTGCTTTAGGGTTAAAGCTTTTAACAATGGCAAAAAGCCACAAGCTATGTTATTTCTGCAAGAAAATCAAAAGAAAGTTTATCAGCCAACTTTATTGTAGTGTGATTTTAAATATATCACATAAATGGGGGTAGAAGGAAGCAATGGTTTAGTGACTATAAGTTGTCACTGTGCTTGATGACTTGCAAATGCAAAACTTTTGATCAAGCAGGTAGGTGAAAGTTTTGTGAGGTTTAATGATACACCACCTGGTCAAATAATTTAAACAGATTACATACCCTGTTTCCCCGAAAATAAGATAGTGTCTTAGATTAATTTTTTTCTCCCAAAATTGCGCTAGGTCTTATTTTCGGAGGATGTCTTATTTTCGGAGAAAAACGGTACTAGTTTGCCCTTCAAATGTTGTGTGTCCTATTAAGGTCTTTATAGGCAGGTTTGGCATTCTGTTAATTGCCTCCACCCAAAAATAAATAAATAAATAAATAAATAAATAAATAAATAGGAATGCAGGTAATTTCAATAATCTGTGATATATTAAAACCTTGGAGATGGTTTTTGACAAATGTATTTATATATTGCCACTTGAAAACAACGTACAAGTACTTAAAATCCGAAGCTTGGACAATTCCCTAGGTTAAAAGCAATTAGGCCATTAATATAGTTGTAATCCCCAGGAAGCATTTCATAACGGAAACACTAACAGATATTAATTACTTCAAGCCCTTCTCCTAGGCGCCCTCATCACTAAGTCTCACCATGATTATGAGGGAGTACTTGTGCTGCTCTGACACTTTCTTCCACAGCCTTGGGGCTGCAACCCCCCACGAGGAGTGCCCTAGAGATCAATAAGCGCTTCCCTAGGACTTCAACTGAGTAATCCCAGGCCAGGGGAGGCGCAGTTCATTCCCGCCCCCCTTCCTTTCATGAAAATTAATGAATTGGCCATAGGATTGTTCATTAAATGAGGTGTGTAGTGGCCTCTACTGGTGCTTGTGTGAGCACAAGAATGTCCCACTCTTACAAGTGGGATGAACCTGGGGGAGGGGATGGTGGGGAAGGAGGCAAGGGGTGAACCTGCCTCTGGGTACAAAGCGCAGACCTAGACCCGGGAACCCGGACGCATCCCGCGCCCGCCCCGCCCCTGGTGGCGCCCCCCGCCTGCCTACTTCACTCCCTACCCCGTGCGATCCGCTTTCTCTTCGGCTAGCCAAACCAGGCAGAGAAGTTCCTGCACGTTTCCTCCTGGGTCCTAAACAAAAACACCGCAACCGCAACCGCAACCGCAACCGGTGCGGCGCCCCCGCCCCCAGCCCAACCCCAACCCAACCCCGGCCCGCCGCTTACCTGGGGACTGCGGCGGGGAGCCGCTCCTGGCGGCCTTGGCGCCCGGTGCTCGGCGCCCGAGCAGCAGCAGGCAACAGAGCCAAAAGGAGGAGGTGCTGAGGAGTCGCCGAGCTCCCCGTTCCGCCGCCATCTCTGGCCCGCGAGCGGCCGCGGCAGCGGCGGCTGCGGCGCCGCGGAGCCCTTGCTTCCTTCTCTCCCGCGCGCCTCAGCCGGTCCCTCGCTGCAGGATCGCCTCCCGCGGCGGCCGCCGCAGCTCCAGCCCGGCTCGCGCGGCCCCTCTCGCGGGAGGGGAGACTCGGGGGGGCCTCCCTCCTGCAGCCGGGGAGAGAGGGAGGAGAGCGAGAGGCAGTCAGTACGTTCCGGGCCGGGGGATGGGAGGCTATCGGTCTCCAAGTCCCAGGCGCCGCCAACCGCTGCCGATTCCGGATCCACACACCAGGCAAAGTAGGCGGAGATCGTGGAGCGGGGGTGATGGCTGGGGCCCGGGGCGCACACCCGGCGCACGCGCAGCGCGCCTACCTCGCCCGCACCCCTCGGCTCGGCGCAGCCCGCCCCGCTCCAATCCCAGCGGCCGCCCGGCTGCCCGCTCCCTCCCCCCTCCCGGAGCTGCGGACTGGCGCCGGGCGCGCCAGCGCTGCTGCGGCTGGCGTCAGGGAAACCCCGGAGAAGCGGATCCACCTCCTCCTCCTCACGTAGGATAGCACGCAGCCCCTCGGCCCCGGGAAGAAATTCCTCCCGCTCACCTTCCGGACGCCACCGAGTGTGGAGACCCGAAGGCATGAAGCGCTGCGAGCCCGGGCTTGTCTTGAAGGCCGGAGCGGACGCGCACCTCTCCGCAGCCCCGGCCCGGGGCCTCTAAATAGGGCCTCAAAGGAAACCGATTGGCCTCCGCGAGGAAACCTGGATGCGCGAAGGTCGTAGCAGGGATTTATGTGCTCGCCAAAAACAATAGCGAGCCGCTGGACTCCGGCTGGGACCTGGCGCGGCTCCCATGGGAGGGGGCCGCCGGCCGCTCTGGCCCTCCGCTTCCGGGCAGGCCGCCTGCGCCGCGCTCGCCCCGGCCTCGCCCCGGCACGGAGCCGCTGCCCGGGCGGCTTCCTCGCCGATGTCACTGGGCCCCGGGCCAAGGAAGCCAGGCACAAACAAAGGTGCCCGGTGTCCGTTCCTGCAGCTCGTGCGGGGTCCGGGCTAAGCCCCCTCACTCCGGGGTTAATCCTCTGTAACTGAAACCTTTTACCTGTCTTTGCCTGCAGTTCTCCTTTTCGTACCTGGTGTGAAAGAAAAGAGCCACATGCTAACCTGACAAGCTCAGGGAAGGCCTGCGTGACAGTCTTGCAAACCCAGAGACCTAAGATAACCACAAAAGATGGTTTGAAAATTAAATATCTAACAGGTTATAGTAGGTAGTCATGTCCCAGATATTTCACCTGACAAAGATCAACTTTGATCTTTTACTGAGCCCCTCTGCCTTCCAACATCTAAGATAACATATCTGTGAGATGTCTGGGTAACTTGTAACTTTCTTTTTACCCCGGACCTCTGGAGACATTCCTCATAGTTATTGTTATCAAGTTAATTGTCAACTGTTAATTACGTTAGCTAACCTGTATCCTCTAACGTAATTAATAGTGAAAGAAGCTCATGTCCATCATTTAACCTTTTACCCTATCCCAGAGGTTTCCCGCTTACTTTGTCCCACCTTCCTAATCTATCACCAATGAATTTCATGTAACTCACCTACATCCCTTTCCTTTGATTGCAATGTATAAATATAGAAATGTAACCCGCCATTCTCCAGAGCATTATCTCAATCCCTTGAGGTTCTGCTTCCCGGCTTGTGTCAACAGTAAGGCTCAAATAAACTCACAAAAAAAATTCTTTACAGGTTTTTTTGGTTTTTGGTTTTTGGTTTTTTTTTTTTTTTTTTGGTTTTTTTTTGTTAACACTGGAAATTACGTCTTTCGCCAGAAAACGGGGAGCAAGAGAGATGTGATTTTAAACCACTTGGTAATCTTGAGGCAGAGCCTAGGCTACCCAAAGTTAGGAGAAAGCAGCTTCTATAATAGTTGGTAACACTGCAGATGAGAAAAATTTGAGCTGCACACCTGGAAAATATTTTAAGACCATTTCTTTGTATGGTGATGCACTTAAAGAATCATGTTTTGACTGTTGAGTTAGATTTTGGTTTACTGTCTGATTGTTAATACCAAAGTGTGTAGCTTCCCACAAGAAAAGGACTGTTTCTTTGACCTCCACTTCTCTGTGCCTTCAAATTACTTTCTTCAGATGTTTTCTTTTATTCTAAAATGCCAAAATAAACAGTAATATAAGGCTTGCGTTAGCATTGGAAGGAAAGAGCTCGGAATTCTCACCAAACCTCTTAAATCATCAAAATGGTGGCATTAGAGACCCTCATCCCAATTTAATTCTTTGAAACAACTGTCTCATAAAAGATCAATGCACGCTTATTGTTTGCCACAAGGGAAACAAATTAAATATATTTTTTTAGAGTTGTTAATCAGCAAAAAATATTTCCTAAATACCTTTGATTGACCTGTTAAATTAGAAATAGATTACCTTCCAATTACTTAACAAGTACTGCTTAATTAGCCTTTAATAATCACATCATTATTAATTTCTCTGATATAATGAGAAAGTTCTTTGGAAACTAAATTGCCTTGCAAAAATTAATATTTGGATATATTTCCCAAGTCTGGAAATTTTGCATTCCATTAAAACAATGAGACTTGTGAAATGAAGCTTATCTTTATTTATATATTTTTTGTTGTTGTTGATTTCAGAGAGGAAGGGAGAGAGAGATAGAACCATCAGTGATGAGAGAATCATTGATGGGCTGCCTCCAGCATGCCCACCACTGACTCACTACCCAAGCATGTACCCTTCACCAGAATCAAACCTTCAGTCCACGGGCTGATGCCTTATCTACTGAGCCAAACCAGCTAGGGCTGAAGCTTATCTTTAACCCTAAGTTTAAAAAAATGAGTTGTGGCTAATAAAATAATCAGAATGCTTTCATGTTTGACTTCTATGAACTTTCTCATTAATTTATCAGCCCACTGTATATCAGGGTAAAAAAAAAAAAATTTAAAGCACTTTCTGTAAAATAGGGTGACTACATCATATATATTTCTGACTTGTGATTATGTCACAATTTTAACCAAACACATTATAATAAACCAGTAATAATTGATGGAGCCGAAACCGGTTTGGCTGAGTGGTAGAGTGTCTGCCTGTGGACTGAAAGGTCCCAGGTTCGATTCCTATCAAGGGCACGTATTATACATTGGTTGCGGGCACATCCCCGGTAGGGGGTGTGCAAGAGGCAGCTGGTCGATGTTTCTCTCTCATCGATGATTCTAGCTCTCTATCCCTCTCTCCTCCTCTCTGTAAAAAAAACAATAAAATATATTTTTAAAAATAAAATAAAATAATTGATGGAGCCCAGATTAAAAGTCACAAATTTTATATCAGTTCAAAAGTAAGATAGTAAAGTAAACTAAGCATACACTTGAATTCAGATCCTTCACTTTTTTTCAGTGTAACTGACACTGAAAATTCCCTTTAAAATTTGGAATCTAAATTTCTCCTTTCCTTGGTAAGGTATCTATGAGAGAAGATTTTTCTAGACATCTTATTTATCATGTTCACTCTCCCAACAAGATTTTTAAACTAATACCCCAATCCACATATTGCTAATTAACGTATTTAAGTAATCAATGAAGATATATTAAACCATTCATGAAATTAATACTTTTTTCATCTAAGTAAAGTTAGAACATGAAACTCATGTTCAAGGAATAGTGCACAAAAAAACTTTTAGAGCAAAGAAAACAGGATGGCCATTGTATGTTACTATATATTAGGAGTGAGGAAACTTTTTCTGCCAAGGGCCATTTAGATATTTATAACATCATTCATGGGCCATACAAAATTATCAACTTAAAAATTAGCCTGCTATAGTTGGTCAAGTAGTTAATTAACTCACCCCTAATGCCTCAGCAGAACCAAACCAAATGATTTCTTGGGCTTTAAATGGCCCAGGGGCCAGACATACCTCACCCATGGTATACATTATCATAGTGCAGGCCAAAAATAACTAGAAATTTCATCTAAGTGATGATATAAAAATTAAATGGAAAATTAATTCTATAAATATATAACTTGGCGAGAATCTTATTTTCTGTAGTGGAAAGATTATTTCCAATTTCAGAGAGGCATTATAGTTTAGTGCTTAATTGTTGGCAGTAATTAGATTCAGCAGCTGATTCCTAACTGAATTCCAGTATTCAAGATAAAGAAGAAAGCTAGTAGATTCCAGTATGGAATACTTCCTAGTCACAGCAAATTTTAACTAGGATTTACCCATGTCCTAAAAACCTGGTTTTCTTCTGCGCAGATGTTGACATTTTTAAATTTGCCCTTTACATCCCACTTAATAAGGAACTTTATGCCTTTCTCTTCCCAAAGCCACCTGTTCTAGGCAGCCATCTTTGCTTAAGTCTAATTAAGAACGATATGCACTCTTATTTTTTATTTGTGTATTTTTTAAAAATATATATTTTATTGATTTTGTAGAGAGGAATGGAGATAGAGTTAGAAACATCGATGAGAGAGAGTTATTGATCAACTGCCTCTTGCATACCCCCTACTGGGATATGCCCGCAAGCAAGGTACATGCCCTTGACAGGAATCGAACCCAACACCCTTCAGTCCCCAAGCCGACGCTCTATCCATTGAGCCAAACTGGTTTCAGTGGATATGTACTCTTTAAAGATAAAGCCTACACAGTATTAATTTTGCTTGTTACACATTGCTTCATCACATATCCTTAGTTCAGCAAGAATCTATTCGTAAATGTTATCAAGGACCTGTTATTTGCCAGATACTGTGTGGGATGGCAGAGATAACAAAATTATTAGTTAATTCATTTAATATTTATAAAGCACTTACAATTTCTTAGGTCTTACCCTGTAGATAGACAAGGTAAGATAGACAAGATTCCCCATCTAGCAGAAGAGATAAACAATTATAATAAAAGAAGTGTGAAAAAGTGTTATAGAAGGGAAAGAAAAGGAGTGTAAGGAAACATTTTAAGAGCATCTAACCTGACTATGTTGGGAGGGAACAGGGAGGAAGGTTGTGGAATAAGAGAAGCAGCTATGATCTCTAACCAGAATAATTTGCATTTTATTTTGTTATTTTATTTTTTTAATAAAATAAGTTTTATTAATAAGTTTTTAATGTTCATATTATTACAAATGTTCCTTTTTCCCCTCCCACCATTGCTCTCCTCCACCAGGTTCCCATCCCACCCTCTGCCCTTTCCACACTCCCCATTGTCCTCATCCATAGGTGCACAGTTTATGTTCAGTCTCTTCCCACATCCCCCTCTCCCCTTTTCCCCAAGAATCATCAGTTCACTCCCCTTCCATACCTCTGATTCTATTATATTCAACAGTTAATATTGTTCATCAGATTTTTTTTTAATTTCCTTGGTTTTTAGATTCACTTGTTGATAGTTACGTATTTGTTGTTCAAAATTTTTATCTTTATTTACTTTCTCTTCTGAAAGAACCCCCTTCAGCAATTCATATAATTCTGGTTTGTTGTTGATGAACTCCTTTAGCTTTTTTTTATTAGTGAAACTCTTTATCTGACCTTCGATTCTGAGTGATAGCTTTGCTGGATAGATTATCTTTGGCTGTAGGTTCTTACTATTCATCACCTTGAATATTTCTTGCCATTCCCGTCTGGCCTGCATGGTTTCTGTTGAGAAGTCAGCTGACAATCGTATAGGTGCTCCTTTATAGGCAACTACCTTCTTTGCTCTTGCTGCTTTTAATATTCTCTCTTTGTCTTTTGCTCTTGGAATTTTAATTATGATGTGTCTTGGTGTGGTCCTCTTTGGATTCCTTTTGTTTGGAGTTCTGGGCGCTTCCTGGACTTGTAAGTCTAATTCTTTCACCAGGTGGGGGGAGTTTTCTGTCACTATTTCTTTCAGTATGTTTTCGATATCTTGCTCTC